GCACCCCTGCCTCAAATCAAACAATACCACCAGGCCAAGAAAACATCAAGCTGATCAACAACAAAACGGCATGGGAAAAAGGCTGGGGATCTTTGTTTCTCACACCAGCTTCTAGAACACTGGAGGCAGATTCCGTACAACGGTAACTGTCCCGGCTGATGCTGAAAAAAAGGCTGAGGATCTTTGTTTCTCACCAACACTGGAGGCAGAATCCGTACAACGGTAACTGCCCCGGCTGATGCTGAAGGCAAGCTGAAACTGGACTGCTGAGTACGGATCGCGTCCAAGAGCTAGGACATCAAAACCAGTCCACTCGGCAGGCTTACATGGACTTAAGCAGAGCACACAACGGAGCTGGGGTGGCCCACTGCGCGTGCTCACTTCAGGGTTGTTTCCTCCTGGGCAGAGACAGAGCTCACTCATCTTGTATCTCGCTTGTCTAACAAGGCACAGCATGCACCAACATGTCCACACACCAACTATATCCAAGAGATGCGTAGAGTGGACAGCCTTGTCTTGTTCCCGATTTCAGTGGGATTGCCCTGAGTTTCTCTCCATTCAGTTTGATGTTGGCTTGCTGTGTATTGCCTTTATTATGTTTAGCTATGTTCCTTGTATCCCTGCTTTACCATGACAGGATGTACATATATACCTCTTGAGACAGGGTCTCACTTTGTAGGGCTGGCTGTCCTGGAACATTCCAGAATAGGGTGGCCTCAAACTCAGATCTACCTGCCCTGGCCCCCCAAGTGCTAGGATTGAAGGCCCACCACACCCGGGCAACTATCCCCATCTTCAACAGATCAAAATACCCACGAGCAATTCTATCAATCCATTTTTCCCCTTCAACCTTCAATAGACTGTGGTTGTGTGGCCCGTCGTTCCTGTCCCGTGCCGTGCCCGTTCCCCCTTCCCCACAACACAATTTGGATGTAACATAAAGGAGAATAAAGTCAGCAGAGCCAGGTGTCATAGTGTGTGTCCTATAGACCTTCCCGGTGGAGCAGCTAGTAACCAGTCCTGTCCTGAATTGGTGATGGACTGAAGCTCGTGCAGAGATTCTGGGGTAAGCAGGGGCAGGCAGGGGCCACAGAAGAAAATGCCCACTAGTGAGACAAAATCCCAAAGCCACCCCAGGCTAGCCCCCCAAGCCGTGACTTCTTTCCTTTCTGTTCAGTCTACAAGCAACAACTGCCCCATCTTTAGCATATTTTAAAGTTAACACTGGTAGAACATGAAACTTTAAAGGTTGTGTATATGTGGACATAGTTGATAGTTGTAGCTTCAAATCACAAGTAAACTGTTAGTTGTCAGTGCTTCTGGTGATCTTAAACTTTTGGCTTTGTTTCGGTTTCCCTGTGTCATAGGCCTGGCTGTCCTGGACTTACTTTGTAGACCAGGCTGTCCTTGAACTCACTGAGAAAACTTTTGGATTTTAAAAGTTGCCTGTGTAGCGGAGCAGCTCATGCTTACAAATCCCAGCACTTGAGAGACCTGAGTAGGAAGATTGCCAGCATAAAGGTTAAACACTTATTACTACATAGTGCGTTCTGGATGACTGTGAGCTATACTGCCAAAAAAATCAACTTTGTTCAAGCAGATAGCTTACTCAGTATCCACCATGGAGAAATAGTCACTTATAGCACGCCTACTCACCCGAGTGAATCAAACGTCAAGCCCGAGCCCTTAACTGGTTTTAGTTATTAATTGGGTGTACCAAAGCATGCCTGTCAACTTAGTGGAGTCAGCTCTTTTCTTCTACTACTTGGGTCCTGGGGACTGAACTCAGGTCACCAGGCAGGCAGCATCTTTACCACTGAGCAATCTATTCAACAATCTTTCATGTCAAAAAACCCATGTCAAGAAATGCTTCAGGTCGGGCGTTGGTGGCGCACGCCTTTAATCCCAGCCCTCGGGAGACAGGCAGGTGGATCTCTGTGAGTTCCAGGTCAGCCTGGGCTACACAGAGAAACCCTGTCTGGAAAAACCAAAAAGAAATGCTTAAGTTGAAGAACTGCTGGTGGGAGACCGACAGGACTCACAGCAGCTGTCTGTCTGTCTGTCTGTCTGTCATGGTGGCCTCATACAGGTTCTAAACATAGAAAGCAAGATGACCAGTAACAGACCCCCTCCAGGCAGCGGGGGCAACTCTATCCAGCAGCAGTTTGTCTCACTCCCCGGCAGGCATGCGACAGAACGGTCTGGAGACCATTCTCTAGATGAAAGGCCAACTGGCTCCTCCTCAGACAAAACCCCCGCTGTGCCCAGCAGACCCGCAGAATAAAGTTGTTGAGAAGTAACCATATACAAGGTCCCAGACTACAAATGTCTCTTTCCTTTCTCTGTATTGTTGATATTTCACACAGTGCAGATATACAAGGGCAATAATAAAGAACCAACCAACTTAAAAAAAAAGAACGTAAAATTAAAAGGATTAAACAAAACGCTGGGTGTGGAGGTGCATACCTTTAACTCCAGCATTCAAGAAACAAAATCAGAGATCTCCTATTTCCAGGCTAGCCAGGGTTATACAGCAAGACTTGTCTGGAAACACAGAAACAACAACAAGCCCCCCCCCCAAAAAAAACCAAACTTGGGCTCTTTGTGGTTACACTAAAATTACTTTATACTCACTGAACTGTTGTCTATCTCCATAGCCCAAAATATGAAGTAATTTAAAGTCAGCATACATACTACAGAACAATGCCATATTTTTTAATGCAGCTAGCAGCAGACAACCAAGTTCAACACCAGCATCTTCCTCAAGTGCATACAAACCACACATAAAACAGAGGTGTAAAAAGGAAGTCAGGGTCAGGCGTTGATGGCGCATGCCTTTAATCCCAGCACTTGGAAGGCAGAGGCCGGTGGTCTCTGAGAAGGCCAGCCTGGTCTACAAAGAGAGAAATCCCGCCTTGAAAAACCACAAACAACATGTAAAACAAGCTATTTTAAAATTTTTTAAAAATGTTAAAAAAATAATAAAAAAGAAAAACCACAAACAATAACCACCATCAAGTGGGTTACTGTATAAAAAGAGTCTAATAAATAAACAGGAGAGGCTGAGGTTGGACAGGTGATATTACCCCTTATCATCCATCCTAAAAGACTTAGACACAACTCTACGTGGCTTAGCTAAGACTCAACTGTATTTGAGAACACAGAGGAGCAAACAAACTCCACAGGAATGGAGGCAAAACCGACACCACGTGCTTGTGTTTGAACGGCCCCAGAGTCAGAAACAAGAGGAGCAGTTCATGTTTGTTTCCCAGAGATAAAACACGGCCCACTGCAGTGAACTTACGGACTGAAGGCAAGAGTCCACTCCAGCAGCTAACAGCTTGCTTCTCTCTGCTCTTACTCGAGATCAGAGAAGCCCACTGGCTCTCCTCCCCACCCCTCAGCTACACTCCAGCTCTGACTGCAAAGGTCTGGAACAGATTAAAAGTCGGGTCACAGAATAAAAAGCTCTGGCATGCAGTCAAGCCTGTCTGGGATACACATACACAGTGGGCCCTAAAGGGAGGGAGAGAGGGAGAAACTGCAGGAGACTTTTGTTGGTGTCTCCATCATACGAGCCTGCGCTTGTGTGTGTGTGTGTGTGTGTGTGTGTGTGTGTGCACGCGCGCGCTGTGTGGAGTATGGTTTTTTTTCCACCTCAAATACCCAAATACCTTAAAAGACCCAGCTGTAGGTACTATCACTAGATAAACTAGGCTAACTGCTAAGTTTCTCTCCTTCACTGCTAATGTTTTTCCCAATTTCTTTTCTCTTTCAAACACACACACACACACACACACACACACACACACACACACACACACACACACACACACACACCAGTTAAGTCAAGAGGCAGTGGCAAAACCCAGTTCTTCCAGGCTTCCCAAGGGCAGATGAACTGAGTCACCAAACACGATTACGGAAGCATGGCTGTTATCATCCAGAGGATACTAATGCAGCATTTTTTTAACCACAAGGGCTCTCTATTCAAGTATTTAAAAGAACCTGAAGTTGCAAAGCGCTAACATGTACATCACCTTCTTCACACCACAACAGGTCTGGAAGCTCTAACAGCTTGTATTTGAGCCAAACCGGCTGCCAAATTGACTGCCTAGGCTGCAACCCCACTTGTGACTTTTCTTGGAGTGGGGGTTAACTAGTTCAAACACTGCTTTTTATTGTTGCCTGCTTCCAAGTAAACAGATGTGGGGGAGTTGTACTGGAGGCCCAGGGTTGTGTTTTGATGGCATTCACAGAGTTAATTCTCCTTTCCAGTAAAGCCTATGGTGTGGCCAGGTCGGCCCCTGGGAAGCTTCAAAGGCTCCGCCCGCCCGTGCATCTGACCCGCTGATCCACACATTGTTTCCATTAAGCAGCATCTCCGCCAAGATGAGTGCTCAAACCACATTATCTGTTCCTTTTTAGACTCATTTTCCATGCTTTGGAAAGAGATTCAGAAAGCCAACGGACAAAACCACTGAGGAAATAAATGTGGACAATGAGGACAAAAAGGCAGTCACACGGGGCACGGAGACCCTTACCAAATGTTTTGCCCTTGGCTTCCTAAATAGAAAGTGTTGGAAGAGAACTTAACATAAAACAAGGCCAAAGCAGTTGTAAAATGCTCTCCTTAGACTGGACCCGGTGTTCAGGGTGTGACCCCCACCTTCAGCCCTGCCGGTTCAGTCAAGCACTAGCAGGCACGTCTCTCGGGGAAAGCCCAGGCTCCGTGGGTCTGAGTAGTGGCCTGTTTCCATGATCACCATATGAATGAAACAGCCAGAGACCATGGCTAGGAGCTTCTACAGCATTCACCACCCACCACAGCAAGGATGAGGCTTTGGAAACAGATCTCAACAAAAAACACAGTGAAGGAAAAAGCTGGGTGTGCAGCCACTGGTTACAAGGCAGTGAGTGCAGTTTCACTGAGATGTGTTCCCTTAAATCCCCCAGCCCCATATGATCATCAAAACGGCCACAAAGGTTCTGAGGTAAACCTTTACCAAAACGAGGGTCAAGCCTTGGGTCCAGCCAGGACGTGGTCTTGTTCTTATGGTTTATGTAGTAAACGTCTCCATCCTGAGTCATGGCTTGCTCCCAGCCATCAGGAAGAGGTCCTACAACACAGAAAACAGACAATGGTTGGTTTCGATCTGGTGCACCTTACGAAGCTGAGCAGCAGGGCTCATTTAAAAAAGAACAAACACAATTATATACAAAGCAATGCAGCGGAACAGACTGCAGCCCATGTCCAGAGAAAACAAGGCAGGCCACATACCCAATTCTCCTCCATGAAAACTAGACCACTGAATAATGAAACCAACATCTCCAAAGACACAGATGAGAACTCTAAGTGGTCAGATTAAAAGCACACTTTAGCTGACACAGCCATACTCCATTTTAGATCTACTATTTGAGCTAACGTACACCAAGAAATCTAGAATATCACAGTCCAAATATATTTTTAAAAGTTTGTTGTACAGCGGAACAGAAAGTGCTAGCATGAGGATTGTGGCTGACATTCTAAGTTTGTTGGAAGGGTGGGAGGTGGCTAGGGAACACATGACACCTGTTGGGAGGCTACAAGATTTTCCTATTTTCATGAGAGTAAGGAAGCTTCTGTAAAATAAGTAATGAGAGCCTGGCTTTAATCCCAGCACTCGGGAGGCAGAGGCAGGTGGATCTCTGTGAGTTCGAGGCCAGCCTGGTCTACACAGCCGATTCCAGGACAGCCTCCAAAGCCACAGAGAAACCCTGTCTCGAAAAACCAAAAAAAAAAAAAAAAAGTAATGCAACCACATAGCCATCCACTAGACTGAGAAGAAGGTCCAACCCTAAGATACTTCTGAAAAACACACAAGGTGCTTACAAATTCAAGGCCAGGTGGCAGTGGCACACACCTTTAATCCTAGGACGCAGAGGCAGGCAGATCTCTGTGCTCTGTGAATTGATGCCAGCCTGATCAGAGCAGCAGTGACAGCACAGCGGTCCCTGCCTACTCGGGGACTTCACCCTATAGACTCCAGTGATGTTCTCCCTAGCCCCGCTGAGAACGCATGCACCCAGGGAAAGCAGCAGGTCATGACTGTGCATTTCCACTGCGTAATGATGGTGCCGCCACATTTAAGGTCATACTGTGGCTCCACTTGCTTAGTCCTGTTCTTGGTCCCCACACACAGACGAACAACCAGGAATGCCCGACTCAAACACACCTGTTTTCTGGAGCTATAAATCTACTGCCCTAAACTTCTGTCAGCATTTGTAGATTACAAGAAATCTCTCTCTCTCTCTCTCTCACCTGTAATCTCAATTATTTAGGAGACTGAGGCAAGTTCACCCAATCAAAATTCAAGGCCAGCACTAATCCAACCTTATCTTTAAAAATGTTTAACGGGTTAGCAATATAGCCAATATGTGAGAGCTTGCCTGGTATGCATTAGATCCTGGGTTTGATTTCTAGTTCTGGAAAAGGGCATTAATTCAGAAAGTTTTCCACTAATACCAGTCTTGTCTAGCATTAAATAACTGAAGTCAGACATTACTAATGAGGGCAATAGGCTTGGTGAGAACCAATAGGGCACTCACCGTATCCTGTCTGTTATTTAAAATTAAATAATGTACTTACCTCATGTTATGCTAACAACCTTAATAGAACTCTGTAACAAACTGTAACTGGAAAGCTGGGCGGTGGTGGTGCACGCCTTTACTCCCAGCACTTGGGAGGCAGGTGGACCTCTGAGTTCTATGCCAGCCTGGTCTACAAAGGGAGTTGACGGGCAGCCAAAACTACAGAGAGACCCTGGGGGCGGGTGTCAGGGACTTCAAAGCAGAACAGACTCATTTACCTATCCAACTATGTCCTTAACAGTTCCTGTATAAACAGAATGTTCCACAAACAAATCCTCAAACCTTGTCTCCATAAACTGAAGGAAAGGAAGGGAGGGAGGGAGGAGAGGCAGAGAGACAGACAGACATGTGGACACAGGCAGCAGTAAGAGGCTTTCCTTCTGAGAGGGCAAGGAAGAGACGAGACCAGGAAGGCGCCTCAACAGCTCTGCTTCACAATAGCTTTCAATAGCAGAATAAAGGAGAGAAAGCTGGAAAAGGAGGTCTGGGCTACAGGTCTGTGGTCAGAGCTCTGCTTCACAATAGCTTTCAATAGCAGAATAAAGGAGAGAAAGCTGGAAAAGGAGGTCTGGGCTACAGGTCTGTGGTCAGAGCTCTGCTTCACAATAGCTTTCAAAAGCAGAATAAAGGAGAGAAAGCTGGAAAAGGAGGTCTGGGCTACAGGTCTGTGGTCAGGTGCCCACCTAGCATCGTATATGCTAGGTGATTTGATGTCCAAGAGTGTCAGTCAGTCAGTCAGTCAGTCAGTCAGTCAGTCAGTCAGTCATCAATCAATCAGTCTGCAGAAAGCCAAAAAGAAAACTGAGTACAATATAAATCTAGACTTCAGAAATGGTCCCTCTCTCCCTCACAAAGTCTCCATCATCTCAATTGACATTCTCAAGCTAGGCCTTTGGGTGTATAAAAGATGGGGGTGTTTTTCAAAATTAGACTACCATGCCAGATTCCCATGCCAAACCTTTTGGGTAAGATGAGGGGAAAATAAAAACAAATAAACAAAACAACCCTTGTAGGGGAAGAAGAGGCCAATATTTTAAATGAGATATAAAAAGTGGTTGAAAAACTAGAATTAGAATAAGCAAGAAAAATGAAGGTTAATTTAAAAATAAATTCTTATGAAAATACAATTTTATGTAGGATTTGCCAATACCGTCTAATTGATAATTTATCTACTAGAACAAAAGTAACTTCATACAGTATTTTAATCAAATAAGATGATTTAGAATATTGCAACACTGGAGATGATTCAACCACATGCCTGTGTGTTCCTGCCTGGGTAATAATTAAGGAAAATCATTTACAATTTGTTCTCAAACAGGAACCTTCACTGCCGCCATGTTAGACCAACCCTTCCTCAGGGAGAACACTGAGAGGCCAGCAAACACCCCAGCAGTTGGTCACAGCACAGGGCTCTCAAGCAGTTTCCTTAGAGAGCTGCCTCAGTGACTTCCTACAGGAGTAACGGAAAGTCGGGTCAATCTCAAATGAGCACAAACTGCTGTCACCAACTACACAGCAGGCACAGTTCTACATTCTCTGCAAACAAGCAATAACTCATTTAAAACCCTCACAATGTGAACACAATTATCCACCACGTAACAGACGAAGAAACCAAGTTAGGAAGTGGCAGATATGGGATTCAAACGCAGGAAAGCTCCTCAGAACGTCATGCTTGGCCAACCACACGTTTCCTCTTCCTGGAACTTGTAAGTCTCAGGGTGTTCTGGGTTGTGGCAGACCATTTCCCCCTTAAAAGCCTTGCGTAACACCAGTCCCTCTCCAACAGCTACACGGTGATTAACAACACTTCATAAGGCATGCTGTGCTCAGAACAGGTCTATGTGCACGTGTGTTTATGAAACACTTTTACCTCAGCTTCTGTAACACTGTCATTTTGTGTAAAAGCTTAGATGTTTGACACTAAAGCAATCCAACATACTGATGGAACCTGCTTTGGCAAACAAATGCCCAATGAGTTGTCAGGACCCCCACCCCAACAAAGTCTCTAGAAAACTCTTGCATCAAGCCACTAGAACGTGTTGATCCCCCCCCCCAACTCCTTCTAGACTGCAATGGGCAGCATGGGAAACAACACTTGGGGCCACACACCTGGGGTAGAATCCCCATGTTTCCCAATGACCTGCATTGTGTGTCCTGAGCCCCGGGCCCACCTTGGCTCAGCATTTATTATTATTAGCCTTCTAATCCTGAGCAAGCTCTTTAACTAGAGATACTTCCTCTCAGTGTCTACAGAATGGAGATGAACACTCACAGTGTAAGAAGAAAGTTCCAAGTAGAATGCTTACAGTAGGTGTTCTTGAATAAATAGTTCTGCCTCTGAAGAGCAGCCAGTGCTCTTAACCACCGAGCCACGCAAGTCTGCAGCCCAGAACTTAGGTTTTTAATGGAATTCTAAAAATCTTCCGACTAAGGCTCAGAACTCACAGTGAGGTATTGGGAGAGAGTCTAACGTCAGGTTTCAGGTCTCAGCAGGTGACAGCAGACTTCATCTTTCCTCCCCTTCACTAAAGTTCTGCTCACCAGCCTCTCTCACCATCACCAGTGACATTCCAGCCATCTGACGCTCCAAATGCTTGCTCTGACTTCCCGTCTGTTAATGAACGAACCGGATCATGTACCCTCTTGTCTTCAGAACCCCGCCAGGATCCAAGTGGCTCACGACCACCAGATGGGCCACTGTGCTCTGCTCCAGAGAACGGTTTCATGGGTTCCCCTTCCCCAGACAGATGCCGGCCCCTCCTGGAGTCCACCTGGGCTGAGCTCCACAGACAGCGGTTTCAGGAGCTACAGATCACTTTAACTCAGCTATGTTCCCTTTCCAGGAAACACGACGGTGCTTACAACATTCTCCTGAATCAAACAGCGGTTGGCTGAGGGCAGAGTGCTGCCCCTCTGCTCCCCCTCCCCCCAGCCTCCTGTAGCACCACCTGCAGCCTCAGCAAGGGACAGATACCCACACAGCACTTCCTGCTGAGATTTTGCTACAGAAAACGCAACATCTAGTCTCAAAGTAAAACAGTGACCACCGTCAAAACTTGCGTGTACTTACCATGTCATGGTAGATAAACTTCCTAGAATGCCACACATACCCAGAGAGGCTAGGAAACAGGCCTCTCTCCAGATTTTACCCATGTAACTCCAGTCAAATTTTTTTCTTTTTTTGGTTTTTCGAGACACGGTTTCTCTGTATTGTTTTGGAGGCTTTCCTGGAATCGGCTGTGTAGACCAGCCTGGCCTCGAACTCACAGAGATCCGCCTGCCTCTGCCTCCCGAGTGCTGGGATTAAAGGCGTGCGCCACCAACGCCCGGCTCCAGTCAATTTTTTAGTTGTAGGTTTGTTTGTTTTTTGAGAACTCCTACATGTATACAGCACACGAGGTGGCCTGACCATATCCACCCACTCCTCTAGACACTCCAGCAAACCTCCCTTCACAACAAACTCAAGAGGGCCGGGGCTAGGGGCTCAGAG